TAAAGGATGAAAAATAAAAATTATATCTGGGGAACTTTAATTATGTTTCGCTATTCTCTAGGAAATCTGGTCACTAGACAAGGAGGTCCGTGTCTGGGATGCTTATACAAGTCTTGAAGGGTCCGTGAAGGACATGGCCACCTCCCTGAGAGCCATCACGGAGCTACAGAGCCCTGCCCTCAGGGACAGGCATTGGCACCAGCTAATGAACACCATTGGGGTCAGTATCATGAGTCTTGTTAATGAAATATTTTTGTGACTGTGGACTTTTGTTGTTATGTGCTATTGAGTTAGTTCCACCTCATAGTAACCGTATGCACAAGAGAACAAACCACAGCCGGGTCCTGTATCATCCTCACAGTTGTCATGTTTGAGCCCGTTGTTGCTGCCACTGTGTCAACCCATCTCATTGAGGGTCTTCCTCTTTTCCATTGATTCTCTACCATAAGGATAAGCACTGAACTGCTAACCGCAAGGTTTGTGGTTCAAACCCACCAGACGCTCTTTGGAAACTCTACACAGGGTCACTAAGAATAGGAACCAACTTGATGGCACACAACAACAGTGAACAAAGATACCACGTATCTTTTTATGTGTTACTGGTCACTGCATGTCTTCTTTTGAGAAATGTATATTAAAATACTTGGCCTATTTTTTGACCTTTGTTGTGTTGTTAAATTGGGTATTTTGATGGTCTTATATTTTATTGCGGACTCCTGGTATGGTGCTGTAGGATAAGCACTGGACTGCAATCCATAAGGTCAGCAATTCAGACCCAACAATAACATATTTTACTACAAAATTTAAAATGGTTTCATAAGTTTTCAGGTCACTAGACATTTTTTTCTTTTCTACATTTGTTTATAAGCAAGCATATCAATCTTACATTTGATTTTTTTTAGCATAAGATTTTTAAATATGTACTAAAATGCTTTAAATCAATGGAAATATGAAAGTGAATCACTTCTTTTTACATTGTGAAGAAAGGCTCTTATGATTTCAAGAAAATGTTGGATAGATATATGTGTGTGCGTGTGTGTGTATGTATGTGATGTAGTATGTAATAAAGGAACCCAGGAGGCTCAATCTTTCTCTAAGACAGACCTGAACCTCGAGCTCCCATCACCCATCAGCTCTAGAGTGAGGTCAGAAATGATACCGAGATACGGTGACCAACTCATCTTGTTTGCTCCAGATTTTCCTGAACTTAGTATTATAAGTTTCACATCTTGGGAAGCCCCTCTCTCCTGGTCATATTGAGGTGTCTACTTTCCTATGCAGGGAGGTTGATGGTGATGAGGAACATTACAGAATGGGAAGAACCAGAGGAAGTTTCAGTTCCCATGACCAGGGAATGGAGAGTCTTAGCCTTTCTAGGCAGTGGTTTTCCTACCACAACCTTGCTGGGTCGGCACTCAAGGGAGAGCAGGGAGCTTCTTAGCAAATACTAGATCAAGAAAAAACAGTCACGATGATGAGGAATAAGTGTGGATTCTTTTTTCACATGGTAAATATGAAAAATGACACTTTGGGTAAGAGAATCATCTGAAAAGGAACTAAGATTAAATTAGTGGTAAAACTAGGTTAAGTCAAGGAAACAAGTAAGAATTATGTTCAGTGAATAAGGTACTTTAAAAAGAAAAGAAAAATGAGCTACTTCCTGATTCCTGGGATTTCAACCAAAGTATAATGTAATTTCAACCAAAGTTTAATGTAGTTCTCTTTAAAAATGGATTTTGTGGGAAAAGAAGTTAAGAAATGAGCTGACAAGGGAAGGGATATGAAACAAAAGCAAGTAGCGTAGTATGAACATGGTTTAAACCTTGGGCCTAGCTTTCTGTGGGTGAAACCTCAGTAATTTTTAGTTAAACAGGGATATTTCTGATTATCTACTCCTTTCAGAACTAATGATGTCTTTAGCGGCTGACTTGAGTATATTTCAGCTACAATTTGGTTATCGGGCCATTCAGTAAAAGCAAATATTAATATATAAGGAATTTAAATTCTGCATTTTTGTTTTCATCCTCAGGTCAGTTTTTCAATAAATGAAGCCACAACATTGGCAGATTTGTTAGCATTGCAGCTGCACAAAGTGGAAGATGATGTACGAAGCATTGTGGACAAAGCAGTGAAAGAACTGGGAACTGAAAAGGTGGTGTCCTTAGGCTATCCCTTTTGTACTGGACTCATTTTGTTATAGCAAGCGAGGTCATTCGGTGGTAGAATTATTGCCTCCTATGTGAGATACTTGAGTTCAGTTCCTGTCCAATGCTCCTCAAGTATAGCCGTCACTCCCCTGTCAGTGGAGATTTGAGTGTTGCCATGATGCTGGAGCCTTTGGTGTAGTGCCGTGGAATAAAGCACTACACCACAAGGTCGGTTAGAATTGCAAGGTTGGCAGTTCAGACTCTCCAGATGCTCCCTGGAAACCCTTGCAGGGTTGCTATGAGTTGGAATCAACTTAATGGCACTTAACAACAACAACAAATGGTGCTGGTGTGGCACTACAGGATAATGCTCTGAACAGCAAAGTCAGCTGTTCAAATCCACCAGCCACTTCTCAGAAACCCTATACATTGTCGCTATAAGTCAGAACTGACTCGAGGGAACCTAACAGGAACTATAACATGGCGCTGCACAGGTTTTGGTAGAAGTTTCAAACTAAGACAGCCTAAGAAGAAAAACTTGATGATTACTTCTGAAAAATCAGCTGGTGAATTTCTGTGATTACAGTGGTTCAGGACCAGTCTGCGTTGTATACGCTCTGGTTGAGGTTGCCATGAATTGTGGCTCTCTCATGTGGCACTGTAAGATATGCACTGGGCCACAAGGTCAGTTTAAACAGCACGGTCAACTGTTCAAATCCACCAGTCATACCTCAGAAACCTTATACAGGGTTGCTATATGAGTCGGAACCGACTCAGCGACACTTAACAACAACTGCTACTAATAATAGCAATCATTTGTGATGAACATACTGAGCTGACTCCACAGGATTATGGAGACATGAATCCTAGTTGGTTCATTTCTGCTTGTTAAGTGTCTGACTTGGGCGGAGAACATAATCATTCTAAACCACAAGAAATCTGTGAAGAGTTTTGGCCCTGGTGATGCTGATTGGAAAAACGCGTTTATCTTTTAATTTGTAGCAAATACCTCAGTACATGCTATATTTATATTAACTCATTGAATTCTGTTTGTTATAGCAGTCCTGTATAGGGTTTCTCAGGAGTAGCTGGTGGATCTGAGCCATCAATCTTACAGTTAAACTTACCTTCTAGTCTAGTGTTTATCTTACAGTGCTACATTGGGACCCCAAGTAATATTTTCCTAATTTTACTGATAAAGAAATGGAAGTACACACAAAGAAATGGAGATTCCCATTTGAACACTCTAAGCACTATATATCCCATGCTGAATGTTCTCTAAATAATATCTATAAAATCTTTGCATATCTTTTAAATACTTTCTTACTCTAATATTTTGTTTATGTGAAAGATGTAAAACTTATGTCCAGTGTTGTTGTTAAGTGTTGCTGAGTCAGTTCCAACTCACTGCAACCCTGTATAGGGTATCCACAGAGGGTATAATGCTTGTTCCTTTTGGGTGATGGGATTAACTTCTCTAAATCTCCTCACCATGAATTATTTGGAGGAAAAGAGGAAGTCAGTAATATATCAGTCTGCTTGCTTGCTTACTATTATTAATAGTAAAATAATAATAATTTTAGTAGTAGCCTAGCTAAAGCCCCAAACTGAATCCACAACCATTGCATTGATTATAACTCAAATAACTCTCTCTGGGATTTCCGAGACTATAAATCTTTATGGGAACAGACAGTTTCACCTTTCTTCCATGAAGCTAGTGGTGGATTTGAACTGCGGACCTTGCAGTTAGCAGCATCAAACCTAGCCCATGGTGCCACCAGGGCTCCTAAATTAAGTTCTTATGCCTGTGATTTCTGCTGTTTGTCACTAGGTTATTACTGAGATCAGTCACACTTGGGCAACCATGGAGTTTTCCTATGAAGTTCACTATCGGACAGAAATTCCAGTACTAAAATCTGATGAACAACTGTTTGAAACTCTTGAGCACAACCAAGTAAGATGATTTTTTTTCCCTTCTTTAAAATTTTGATTTTAGACTTTTTGCAATTTCCAACATTCATATACTCATTCACTAAATATTGAATAATAGTAGAAGGTATGATTCCATTGGGATCCAAAGGTATGAACTCTTTTTCTCAGTGAACTTGCACTCAAGTAGAGAAAAAAACAGAAGTGTGTCTAATGGGGAAAAGTATAAGGGGTGGGCCGTTAGATGTTAGATGATATTCTTATGCTGTACCTTTAAGGATGGATTGGAATTAAAAACAAAAACAAAAACAGGGAGAGTCAGAAAAGGGCATTACAGACAATGGGGACAGCTTAGCAACAGCTTTCTGGCATCTTGTAATGCCAAAAAGCATGCATTCAAAGATAACTGTAAGACTTTGTTTCCCTTGGAATATGTATTTTCTTTTATGATTAATATAAAGTAAGGCAAGAGTACAGCATATACAGTGTTGAATTATAAGATTATAGAGATTGCCTTCGCTTCGGTCACTAGCATTAAGAAAGGTAGAAGAAACAAACGACTATGAGAAACTAATAGCAGTTGGGTTATTACTAGACATAGAGCTTATAGGAAAAGAAACTGCTTTAGGGAGAAAACAGAAATCAAACTCACTGCTGTGGGGTCAATTCTGACTGAGAGTAACCCCCCTAAACTGAACAGAGTTTCTGAGGCTGGAAATCTTTACAGGAGCAGAAAGCCTCATCTTTCTCCCACGGGTCAATTGGTGGGTTTGAACTGCTGACCTTGCTGATAGCAGTCCAGTGCTTTATCCTGAAGCACTTTCTTACATGCTTAGAAGGAGGGCCATTTGTGGAAAGATGCAGAGTCCAGACAGCGGCAGTGGTGAAGCTTGATAGTGAACTCAAAGGAAAGCAACATGGAAGCTTGAAATCTTGGCACATTGAAGGGAAGTGTGCCTTTCTTCCCTCTCTCTTTCTCTCTCTTCATTACTCCTCCTTCCTTCTTCACCTTCCCCTCTTCTTCTTCCCCTCATCCTCCCACCTTTCCTTTCTTCCTCTCCTCTGTTGCTCTCTCCCCACCCCTTCTCCCAATCTCCCCCTTTGTTTTTTGAAATTAAATAAGAGATCCTAATAGTTAGCAGGCAAGTGAGTAAAGAAGGAAGAATAAAGTTTAATTCCTAAAATAGTACCCTATTGCACAATTTCTTTTTTTCTGACTACAGCAGAGATACATGGGCTTCTGGTAGAAGACATATTAAATACAGTTACTTATATTTATCTTTTGGAAAAAATGTTAATATCAACTCACTTAATTACTGGTGATTACTTACTAAGTACCTGGACAAGTATTGCATGTTAGGTTCTAGACATCCAACAATAAACAACATATGTGATTCTTTCCTCATGGTGCATGTTGTCTATCAAATTAGTTATTATTTAAAATTGTTCTGCCTTCCTTTTAGGTTCAGTTACAGACTCTTCTTCAAAGCAAGTATGTGGAATATTTCATTGAGCAAGTCTTAAGCTGGCAAAATAAGTTAAACATAGCAGACTCAGTCATTTTTACTTGGATGGAAGTCCAGCGAACATGGTCTCACCTGGAAAGCATCTTTGTCTGCTCAGAAGACATTCGAACCCAGCTTGTGGAAGATGCTAGAAGATTCGATGGGATAAATGCAGAATTTCAGGTTCATAGAGAATAGGCTTTAATCTATTCTAGCAGACCTGTCAAAACAATATCAAAGTCTTGTGAAGAAGCATGATTCATATTTATAAAAGTATATTTTTTGCCTTCTAGTAAGCCAGGGTCAAGAAACTTTTTCTAGGAAGAGTCATAGAATATTTTGTGCTTTGTGTCATGTGTTCTCTGTCCCAACTACTCACCATTTTTATTGTAGCATGAAAGAAGCTAAAAGCAATATGTAAACAAATAGATTTGGCTGTGCTGCCAATAAAACTTTATTTATAGATGCTGAAGCATGAATTTCATGTAATTCTCATGTCACAAATATTGTTCTTACAATTTTCTGAACCATTTTAAAAGATGTACAAAGCGTTTTTAATTTCTGACGGTACAAATATAGGTAAGGGACCAAAAATTGGTGACTCCCGCAGAACGGCAAGGTAGAAAGATTCCTCTTCTTAAGTAAAAGAATGGAAACAGGTAACAAGGCAGTTCTACAGGTTTAAGGAACTTCTCCACAAGAGCCACAAAGAACACATGGAGAGGTCTACGTAATAATGATAAATGAATTGAGAGACGTTCAGCAGAGAACAGTGTTTCTAGTTTATATATATATACACACACACACACACACATATATATTGTTAAGTGACATCGAGTCGATTCTGACCTGTAGCGACCCTATATAGGGTTTCCAAGGAGCAGCTGGTGAGCTTGAACCACTGACTTTGCAGTTCAAATGACTTTGCAGTCTG